CTTTGCGAAGCGAGATTTCTCGTAAATTAGGGGCGGACCATTAGAAAAGTGAGGGGGGGGGGGGGGGGGAGGAACAAAAGCAAAAATAAATATCGAGCAGGGACCAGCAGGGGAAACAGAAAAAAAAATTCGTGCACCAGAAATGTTTGAAAAAAAAATTCGTGCAGAGACTTTTCAATAGGGAAAATTATAAGTTGACAGGGCCTATCAGAGGTACAGTGTAAGGGAAATAAAAGAAAAATATTTTTATATATAAAAGAAAAACTTTTTTATATAAGTTGAAAATGGACCCCCCCCCCCATTGCTTTTCTAATGGTCCGCCCCTTAATCCATTTGGAAAACTCAACATCCATACAAGAATAAATCTACCATAATCTCTGTTATACCCCCTACCGGGGCCTACTTTTTGAGGCACCTTTCAGGAAGGGGTAGAGTGCTTATTTATTTATTTGTAAAATGATATAAATTTGTTTATAAATAAAATTTGTGTGCAGAAAATTAGTAAATCTTAGTTGAAAACTTCTGGGTTTTTTTGTATAAACAGAGAGGGGATTTTAGGATTTAATAAAATTATTCATCTAAAAAGAGGGGGGGATATTAAGGCGGATTTCCACTTTTCGCACGAAGCTCCTCGCAGTTCGCTGCGAGTGCACGCATGAGCACTTTCATCCAATCACAATGCTAAACAGTTAATTTTAATTAGATGCAAGCACACACAGCGAGCTACAAGGAGCTTCCTGCGAGGACTGGAAATCCTTTAGAGAGGGGGCCTGATTTCATGATGGCTTAATACCGTGAATACAGTAGCCTGCGCGCAGACTATGAATACAGTAACTTCAGAAAATATAATATTGCCATGATAATAAAATGAAGTAATATCACTATCAAAATTATGTAATAATACTTCAACAACATTTGTTTACACTATAAATAATCCAAACTTAATAAATTTCCAACCAAAAACAACAGATAATTACAAAATGATCTCAGTTGATAAATGCATTCCTAATCAACAAATCAGTCACCACGATATATAATGTCAATATTATTATCAGTATCAAACAGTTTATACTGCATTTCAAAAGTTTTAGAATAATCTCAAAACAAGTCAATCCCAAACCAATTTTACAGTAAGAGAAATTTCAAAACAACATATTGCCCAAAATATTACCATTTGCATTCAAGCGTTTACCCTGGATTCCAGAGCCTTCGACAGTAAATAATAAATTGAAATGTCGCGAAGGCTCTGGTTCAACGGGGCGATTCTTTGATTAAACCGAGCCAATCACAAAACAGAATTAGTGGTTTTAGTACAGAATCTGTACTAAAACCACTAATTCTGTTTTGTGATTG